ATATATATATATATTACAATGATGATGATGGTGTAACGATTACGACAATAGGAAGATTTAGCAGCCTTACGAAAACGATAACGAATACGAATACGTCATTATCATTGTCGACATTCGTGCCTAAAACATTCTTGACAATATGCTATAAGAGCTGAATACGATCCTTGATTCATGCATAAATCGCCAACGTTGTGACAGATATGCTACGGTCCTGCAGGGGAACGGCTATCTAAAAATGTGATGGCGTAACTGTATTCGTTCGATTCGTAAGCTTGCAAAAACTCAATATTGATGACGATGAATACAGTATAGTAACTAATGTAGATTTTCGGAATTCGAATGAATATTAATGGTAATAATAACGAATGATAATGATGATGATGGTAATAATAATGATAGTAATGACGATGAATACAGTAGTAATGTAGATTTTCTAATAACGAATGATAATGATGATGATGGTAATAATAATGATTGTAATGACGATGAATACAGTATAATAATGTAGATTTTCGGAATTCGAATAAATATTAATGATAATAATAACGAATGATAATGATGATGATGGTAATAATAATGATAGTATTAATAATGATGATGTTGATAGATGAGGAAGAGGGTGGAAGAAGAAGAGGAAGAAGAGGGGATGATGATGGAATTACCGAGGCCCTATGTACTGCAATGTGCCATTCCGTCGAAGACGCTCAAGTATATTATGCTTATGTTTTTGTACTACCTTTGAGTAGGGGCTAACTGTTACTGCTGGTTTCGGGAAAAAAATAGAATTAAAACAAGGATTTGTAATGTCTAATAAGATTATGGTAATGATGATTGTCACTTTGATAATGATGGCGATGATGATGATGATGATGATGATGATGATGATGATGACAATACAGAAAAGGATGATGCTAATGATAATGGTTGCCACTGAAGAGAAAAAAAAAGAAGAGAATTCCTATACTTAAGTCTGAATTAATTAACTGATGATTTATGTAATGAACGAATCAAGGACAGTTAACTTGAATAAATAATTACATGAATATATGAGTTATAGTAATAAAAAACATTCTGACATCACATTACGATTGTGGCTGTATATTAATCACCAATATGGTCATATTAAATTAAGCGCATCAAAGCATTGTTTGAATAGTTATTAACATAACAAAGGCAACTCCTCTTTTCTCCCAAAACACCTGTTGATATTGAAGGTAAAATCGGCAAACAGCGTAATGTCCGCCGACGAAAATATGTTCCAATCTGTGCAACATTATTGCAACGTCTGTAAGTAGGCTTCCACCATTCGAAACTTTATAATCACAGTAATAGATAATTGATAGAAGTAATGGTATGTAGAATATTAGGACGCTAAGGTCTTTAATTTGTGGAGATCCGTTTGGTCAGGTATACAGATGGTTCTCAGTTGTGCGTGGTTCAATCAGTTGAACTGATTTTCAATTCATGGACAGTGATATAACAAATACTGGTGTTTGTTTTCATTTTACTAAAATTGTCGAGCTTGCCTACTTCTTTAAATAATGCGCTATGATTTTTTAAGCATTATAATGCGATGATGCAGTAAAAGGGAATCTAAGAGAGTTGGGCTATTGTGTGGGTTGGTACTGTATTCCGAAAATGTCATAGCAAGCTAACACAAGTTCGCCCTTCCATTTCGAGACCACTTTTGGGACCGACTTGAAAATTAGGAGTGGTTTCTGGGTTCGGTTTCCCTTAGAGGATTTAGCTTTGTGTTGAGATTGACGATTGGAACTTGAAAATCACACCATGAATCGAAACGAAATTTTTAGCGTTTTTTCCCTTTTAAATATTTATACAAAACCTATTCGTGATTGTTATTTCGTTCTAATAAAAAGTGGTCTCGAATTAGAGGTATCTCGAAATTAGAAGGGTCTCGAAATGAAAGATGCACTTTTGTTTTTCATTATTCTTTTTATCCACTCTGGTTTTACCATCGAGAGTACTCTCTACTAACACCATTTGCAAATTGTAACATATAGTTCCATTGTTATATATAGGTCTATTAATGAATTGAATTTATATATATATAAATATTAAGTAATCAAACGCAGTTCATGGTTGCAGTAAAACTATATGTCTTAATAGGTAGCTGTTAAGACACTTCTGTTAAGTAACATAGTTGCTGTATATATATAAAAATAAGAAATCAAACACATTTATGTATCTATTTATCTATAGAACACTGTATTTATTTTCGAAAGATAAGTAATATATATTTCGAAAATAAATACAGTACAAATATATTGGAACATGATGTTATATATCGTGTCAAACATAGTTCATCAAAGTAAGAATTATTTGTATGAAAAAAGAGGTCTCTGGTGGGAATCGAACCCGCAATCTCTCCCGTACGATAAATAAATTTTGATGAATTACGGATCTAATACCACTATAGTCTCTCTCCTTCATGCAACTTGAGGGCTCATACATAGTGGAGCGAACTTTTTTTAAATTTTGAAGTTACGTAGCTATGTAGCAGCTATCATGGAAATGCTATTCAAAGGGCTTCAATTTCTTGTAGCTCCTATTTGGTAGGCCTATTGCCATGCTTATGATGATATTAGCTACCTCTAGTGCAAAAAGAGATGTTGATACAACACACATAGAGCTGCTATGCCTTCTTTGGCTAACGGCATAATGTTGTGAAGGAATAATTATGCAAGGGAATGTAAGATTGTGACAAACCTTTTAAATTTTATTTAATTCCTTTCGAATAGTATATACCTTACTTTGATCCCTCTCTCTGTCTAAAGTTATATTTTTGTATTTCCTACAGTTTTTGCCCATTGTTGCATATCTTTGTAAATAGCTTCGATCCTAAATGGGAATGTATTCACATGCCTTTGGTCTTTTAACAAGTAAAAGCAACATTAAATCAAATATTATGTTGTCCTGAAAAATGTAAATTATTAAGCGTACCTGCTCACTCACTCAATAATCAATACAACTTCTCCAATTTCATGTGAAGTTGTTTTGACGTTTGATAGCTGTATAAATGAATATAGCGCCCTCCATTAGCTATCAACAGTCACTGCTGGAAAGATGATTTTATTATCATTTTGTCGTCCGCGTAGGAGGAGGATCATGATCATCATCTGTTTGGTGGTATAAACTTTATCCATACTGATTGTAAATGTTATCATATGAAGATAGATAGGCGATACTTTGTACAAGTAAAATGAATTTTCGGTCAGTTTTCGGCGGTCGAGCGTCAGAGGGCTATTCAGCTGAACGAGTGCAAGGTACGTTGATTGTTTATTGATTGAATTGAAGGCTGTGTGGTTTTCGGCTTGGTAGGTACTGTCGGCCCAGCCCACTTTGCTTGGGTTGGATTGAATTAGAGGCTAGCCTATCCTAGGATAGGGCCTAGGCCTAGACCTAACTACGTTCGGATTTAATTTACGAATATCTAAATCTGGATTAGGCCTAGGCCTAGTAGTCTTGTTCAGAATAATATATCATTGCAAATTTGTTGTCACAGCAGGGAGATGTATTCTCCCTGGTCACAGTGAGGCGCAGATTTCAAAGCCATGCCAGGCCAGGGTGGGGTTGGGATTGGGTGTGAGAAATCATGGAGAGGTACACAGCATGCCCACCCTCCCTCTCCACCACACAAAAATGGTTAATTTCCATGCAATTTTTGCAGAAAATTAGCCCTTGGTATCTCTTTATATACAGCATGTTTTTGCGCACCTATTTTGCTTGTGATTTTCTGTGTAAATATTTGAGATATTCTCATACTGGTATTCAGCAGTTTACTACTAATGAATGAGTCCGTCCCCAACACTTACTCTTCCCGGGCACAGTGACTCGTCGTTATTCATTGCCCACTTATATACTCCTGGGTGGAGAGAGATAAAGTGCCTCGTCCAATGATACAGCGACTTGTATAGAGAGGGTTTCAAACCCCAAACTCAAGGTTGAGAGTCCAAGCCACAGCCGTTGCCCCAACCATTAAAATGAATAAAGATAGACCCTTAGGCCTAGTCCTGAACCTGTTTAATGGGTATGACTTGTCGCTATTCTGTCTTATTGAACTTTTTAGAAGTGACAGTTAAATATAATTTTCATTTTAAAATCTAATACGCCTAGACCCCTGGGTATTTGACCTTTTTAAGCTGGTAAACAGTTCCAGTCTGTTAAGACCAGCAGCGGGCTGACATAAATTATGTACTTTACACTACTTCAATATCGGTCCCTCCCTAGTGGATTCGAAACAGAATTGACTTTTACAGATATGGTGAAAATACCACTTCAGCAGCCCCACCATGGTTGGGGCTGAGGCAAAGAAATTTATGATTGTGGTACTTGATTGTCGGAAATGGCATTCTCAGACTTAAATTTTCTTTTCTGCTCCATTTTACTCTACAACTTTGAAAAAAAAACTTGCACTCCAGGTTCTCCTACCCCTACCACAAAAAATAACGAATGCCAGCGCTAGAAATTCCCCAATGATGAGTCCGATACCCCCGAAAAGAGCCCGCATTTACCTCAACTCCACCGTGATTGGCAAATGGTTAGAGATTGCATCATATTAGTGCCCCCTACACTTAATCCATTATTCCCATCAGTCTCCCCACCCCCAAACAATGAGCTACACTCAGAAAAAACCAGACTCTTGGTAACAATGCTAGATTTAGTAGAGGGTGTAGAGGTTTTTTCCTGGAAAAATTATTTTTATCAATGTTATGCGTGCCAGATCAAAATCTTTGGTGGGCTGGAGTTGGCCTGCGGGCTGGGGGTTAAATACCAGGGGCTTAGACCACAGTAAATAATTTAAAGCTTAGGGTTGGGTATGATCTCAACAAATAATAGGTGTTACCAAAGAATGGTAACATAATAAATTATTTATAGTTATTGGTATAGTGACCGGTCCGTGGCAATATATTAAGTTTTTAGCTGTTTGTTATCTTTTAGCAATAAATTTACCATTACATTCAAGTCTGTTTGCAATTTGTTAATTTTCTAAACCCAGTTATTTGTATTTTAATCCTTGATTAAGATCATTCTAACCACACTGCAGTAATGCTTGATTAAAAAAGTGTCAATACGGTATAATTTTTCTTTAGCTGGGGAACTCTCATGAATATGCAATAGGCCTACAGTAATTACCCACAATTCATCAATAACCACTACAAACCAAGCTTGTTTAAGAGGTAATAGTAAACTACAAACCTAATATTTAAATATAATTTGTAAAATAATATCTAGCTAAATCCTATAATTTAGGAAAAGTAATGGAAAAAAGCAACAATCAAATAGAGTATCGTATAATTTAAGATAGCTTGCATTTTGGTACATGAATTGAGTTAAGAACATTGAATAATTGTGTACTACTAGGCCTAAGCCAAATTGAAATTGTTTATTTATGTGACCTTTCAGCTTTAATTTAATGGCTGAAATTAATTTTAAATGCATTTCTAAATATTGTTTATGTGTGATTAGAATGTGCTCTCATCTACAGTACAATTTAAACAGGATTTTGCCCTTTGATGTCTATAAATATTAAATTAGGTATGCAGTAATTTCTCGATTACAGAATGTTGTGTTATTAAATGTTGGTCTTAAAAAACATAGATTTCTTATTTTCTATAATGTTCATTATACAATTTTAACTGTACAAACTTAACAGTATGATTCCACTTCCACCTGTTAGGCAATGTATTGCCTTCAAAATACTTATTTTTATATAAATCTATACATGGCATTGCTCCTCTTATTTATTATTTGAAAATTTAGTTCACCTTAGGTCGAATCAGTGCAGTCGTTTAATCAGATCTACCACCAGCACAGTAATTGTTCTTCACACTCCATCTAGTAGATTAATATCTTATGGTGACAGCATTTTCTGTTGTTGCGCCATTACTATGGAATTCCCTGTATCTCCTTCTCTCAACATTTTCAAGAACCGTCTTAAAACATATCTTTTTTCAACTTTTGAATTCTGTTCTACTCATAGCGCATTGACACCTGGTTTATGTGCTATAGCAAATTTATATACATTACATTACTTAGTCTTCAGGATATGGATATTAAACAAATTAAGAGAACTCACGCCAACCACTGGCCGTATAAGATTGATAAAAAGTGAACTAAATTTATGGACGACCATTCATGATTTTTTCATTTCCACAATGATTACAAAACATACGCTTTTGGGGCAGGGGAGATGTCAACTGTATAGGCATGTTTTTTTGGTTTTTTTTAATAAAATAAAATGATGATCTAAAAAAAAAAAAAATGATTTTTATTGTGTACTCTTTCAGGGCTAGGAAGGTGGTCACAGAAAAGAGTATATTTTATAGTGAAAGTAAATTAATAACAGAAATTCACATAGAAAACTGATAAAAATTTAATATATAAATCTAAGGTAAATGTTCTGTACAAAAAGATAAAGTGTTACATTGTTAAATAGAGTAGGCCCTACAGGATACTTGTTGGTTGGTGGAATGAATTATGCATGCATTATTTATGAATTATTCATGCATTATTTAAGAAATATTCATGAATGTCATGTTTTGATCCATTTCTTCTGTCATTTGTGAAACATACTGTAACCTACAGTAGGACTAATAGAAGCGAATGCTTTGCCTAAAAAATGGCCAACATTTTAAGAATAATAATTGTACAATAAACAATATGTCAGGCCTCGCCCAGTCACGGCACGCGCCCGGTCCCGCTTCACTCCCCGGCCCGACTGAGTTTCAGACAATATGAATCGGGAGCTGTTGATTGCATGACGACGGTAAGAAGTGGAATTTAATGACGTCACTAAAAGTCATCTGCGCATGCGAGAAAGTCAAAGTTCTCCTCATCGCATGGATTCTGGGATGCAATTTTTCTCCAAATCTATGTATGGAGAGAACGTAGGGTGCCCGGTAGGACAGTCACGCATGAGTGATTTCATTCTAGCGTAAGGTCGTTGAACAAATCGAAAGCTCCATATTGTGTCATACTAGTTACATATCAAGATGAGCAGTGTGGATCCAGTTTGTATGTGATGTAACGATACAATGTTTTAGACAGCACTGAACACTTGTAAATAGTGAGATACATTATATTTGTTTATGATCAAATACAATATAATATTTTTTTAAAATTCAACACGAAAAGTGACAAATACATAAAAAAATATAGTTTTGAGAAAATGTAGATAAGGGAGTTTTCGCAAAGTTATGGAAATTAACATAGAAAATTTAGTTTAGAAATCCTTTCCCTACAGTAGTATAATGGCCACAACGTAGGTGATTCAATGCCTTTTACATGAATCGTGCATCATATTCAGCTCGTACAATATATTGTCAAGAATGTTTTAGGCATGAATGACGATCATGATAATGACGTATTCGTATTCATTATCGTTTACGTAAGATTGCTAAATCTCCCTAATATGTGTTAACAAATGTAAAACGTTTAAACATGTAAGTACATCGGTATTGTAGAGTGTTTATCGTTGGTGAATTATTCATAAATGACATTTTGCACGAAAGGTTAGTTATCTTGATCCATTTATGTTTGTTTGACTACTGTATATCCAAGAGAGATCTAGAACAGAAATATGCATGATTCCTAAAAAGATTACTAAAAATTATACTAGTAATATTCTACAATAAAACAATATGGACTAAAGGAGAATTTTGACCCATAATACATTATGTCACACATCAACTAGAGATATATGCACATCTCTATATCATTTAATTATTGAGCCGTAACAACAGCAGCCTGCTGTTGACCTTTGTGAGAGCATTGAGTGTTATGACGCACATGTGTAGGTGGTCGTTTGTATGCATATCATTACTAGAGCACTACACCATCGTGATAGCTGAGTGAATTCATTGATGGTTATCCCTGATAAATTATTCCACCTTCTACATTCATGCATTATGTAATAATCATAATGTAATAATTATGTAATAATAATAATAATCACAATGATGTTATAAATAAATAATAATAAATCATGTAATAATCATGTAGTAATGATAATAATAATAATAATAATAATAATCATGATGTTGAAATTTTTGTAGAGTGTTGCTGATCATTCAATTTCACTGAGATTTAATAAGTGTATTTATCTAGGATATGAATGGATACCATATTGTTTGTTTACCATTTAATGTACTGTAAAAAAGAAGAATTTGAATATTATATTCTAAGCATTCCTCCCCGTCGAAGCTGACTGGATGAATATCAGATTTGTTAAAAACTGAGATACAGTAGATTATGCCGATATTAT